CTATAGAATTACTAAATGTATCCAAAGTAGCACGTATTCTGGAAGAGTCCAAGAGTTAAAATTGAACAGAATTTCAAAGGTGTAAAGACAGCCTGTTTCCTTTCACATATAAGTATATACCTGGTGCTTGTATAAGAAGGGGGCAATAGATTATAAGCAGATAGCTTTCGACAGAGTGTCTAGCTTAAAAATCAATGACACAACATGCCCCAAAGTGCAAAGTGTTATTTTACTCATTTGCAGGAAATAAATCATTTGCAAGGCATATTCCCTTAGTCATTGACCCTTATAGAAATAATAAAAATTTAAAGAGTACGCTTTGAATTCAGACCTCATCTTTGATATATTGAACTTGACGTGAAGGTTGTCCAAGAGTTCACATTTCTCAGATGAAGCAGATCTAGACAAGCTGGTCATTTCACTTCCCAGCTGAGACCTTTGCTCAAATTCTGCAGAGCTGTTGTCCCATGAATCATCCTCCATGGTGAAATCTGGATTATGAAGAGCCATGTATCGTAACCTATAACACAGTTATATCCTTAATATTAAAACACTGGTAAATCTTGATCTTATGCATGTTTAAGTTTACTTTGACTTTAATGGACATAGTAATATTAGTAAAAGTAAGTACATGCCTAAAAGTCTGCCAAACTAGGGAAACAGTCATAAATTCATAGGTTAGGGTCAGAAGGGACCTCAATAGATCATTGAGTCCGACCCCCTGCATAGGCAAGAAAGTGTGCTGGGTTCAGATGACCCCAGCCAGATGCCCATCCAACCTCCTCTTGAAGACCCCCGGGGTACCACCTCCCTGGAGAGCCCATTCCAGACCTTGGCCACTCTAACTGTGAAGAAGTTCCTCCTAATGTTCAGTCTAAATCTGCTCTCTGCTAGCTTATGGCCATTATTTCTTGTGACCCCCAGGGGTGCCTTGGTGAGTAGAGTCTTGCCAATTCCCTTCTGCACCCCCATGATGAATTTATAGGCAGCCACAAAGTCGCCTCTCAACCTTCTGTTGTGG